TTAGTTCTGATAAGTAGCGTCGATAAATATTCAATATGAAATCCAACATTAATAACAAATCCAAACAAAACTATTAGGTTCAGGACTATCCCACATGACACGCTTTATTTTTGTTTTCAAGAGTGGACGTAAATATATTAAGACTTTAATGCACATTACTAACAAATACATCAGATATTTAAAGTTGTCAATCCCTTGTAAAAAAATGCTTTCTCTAATGATCAAAATATTAAAAAGCACTATAAAGTAGTACTTTCATGATTTTCCCGTTAATGAGGACTGACGGAAATATACCATTATTTTATTTCACAATAATTACATCTCATTGAAATGTTCTAATTAGAAGCAAAACAAATGTAGAAATGTCATTTTTGTAATATTTGCATTAAACTTATTTTTCCTAAATAAATATATTTTTTACATTAGCATGTAAATCGTCCAACGTACATGAAAACAGTCATGGTTTTTTCTTTGAATTTATTTTTATTCCGTATAAATTACATTTTTAAATTCACATATCTATGAAAATCATTTACACTAACTGTATCAACAATTCGGTATCAATTTTTATTTTAAACCATGTTGTTACTTAAGTAAAATTAATTTAAAAGATATCTGGACCTTCAACATTTTAGGATCTAGATTTATGGCGATAAAATCACAATAACATAGCACATATTTCTCTCTATTTAAAAACGATGTATTTGTTCTCAATCCGATATAAGTATGCATAATTTATTTATAACAATATTAATCATTAATTGTCTCTATAAAGCGAATTATTTATTTTAAATAAATAGTATAATAAAGCAAAACATACCGAATTATTTTATACATTTTTGTAGATTACCTAAATAATTTAAGTCTTCATTTTTCAAGCAGTGGTATTTTAATTAATTTTTTATATAAAAAATCGCCTATTGGGACAAAACTAAAATAGTTAGAGATATGATGTCGATACGTTCTTTGTAAATAATGATAAGTTCTACAAAATTATAGTACATCACTTTGTTATATCTTTCGTTCGCGATTAAAGGAAGTTTTTTGGTATATTTTTTACATTATCGGAGTTTTGGTAAGGAAACCAACTTTTTTTAAAAACTAAATATGTCACTTCGGGATAGTATAGCTTTCCAACGGTGAAAGAATTTTTCAAATCGGTACAGTAGTTTAGGAGTCTATTCGATACTAACAAACAAAAAATCAAACCTTTCCTCTTATAATATTAGTATAGATAAGATAACTAATATGCGTACCTACTACTTCACTTATAAAGTAATAAAATAAAAACTAATAATATATTTAAACACTACCAAGACTTCTAATACCTATTATATAAAATAAAAACAAAACTAAAAATAAACTATGCAAAGACTAAAAGTCGTGCTGATAAGCACGTTTTGCAAATAACAATTATTGTGTGTCAATAACGTCGAACAGTCTGAACGTCTATTCGCATCAACAGCCAAATATTCTATGACGCTCAAGCCGCGAACGCGGTCTCCCACCTTTTTACACCTCTCGCCGCTATGCGCGTCGAGAGCGGCAGCCGGTACACAAAAATAATCCTTTTTAGTAGAGTATCCCGATATAAGGCGACCTTCACCGAGATGCTTATTTGATGAAACATATTTTATATTCAATTTAAAATGTCAATAACTATATTAAGTATGGGTTGCCTCATAAACTTTAGTCCAGGATATGATTAATTAAAAATTAAAATAAGATTTTTTTCAAATATTTCATCGGTTTGATTATTAGATAAATTCCACACCAATTGAAAGTACGGAGCCCATAGAATATGAAAACGTTAGGTTGCCTATTCTTTTCCAGTCACAACTCTCAAGTTGCCAGGGATAAACAGGTACATCGATAGTAGCATTTTGCACCGGTCTGATAATTTAATCAAATTTAAATGAAAACAAAGAATATTTACGAACAAGGTAGTATAGGGTGGCCTCCGAAAAATCAGTCCTAAATTAGGGTTGTCGATTTTAAACGGTTAATATTTCTGCGATTGAAAATGTGCGACTGAGAGGTCTCAAGCAAAACCAATTAAAAAAAAACTCTGTTTATTGTTAAAAATTAAAAAAACATATATTTTTTAAATTATTCAGCTTCTGAGTCATCGGACATTAAAATGAGATCTTCGACATCTGCAGCTTCTTCGTCATCACTCTCTGTTTCGGTTCTTTCGACAATATCAGCTATTCTTAAAGGTGTATGATCCCCAAGGAACCCTCGTGGTTTTAAGTATTCATCTAAGTACCATCCGCAGCTTTCAGGTTCAAGTTTTTGATGCATATTGGATCTGTTGCATTCGGCCACATCGAATTTACGAAAATAATTTTTAAAACTTTTTGTGTTAATGATATCCAGCACGGATTTTAGATCCAGATTTTAGTTCAACATCCTCGTAACATAAAAAAGCTATTTTGTACCGGATAAAAAAATAAAAGAACAAGTACATATATAAATATTTTTTGTATATAAGTCAAAAATATAAAATCTAAATTAATAATAATCAAGGAAGGGGTAACTATTTTTTCAAAACCGTTTAATTGGTACATTTTAAATTTGGTGCTGTTTGTTTCTCCACCTATTTTGTCATTAAAAATTTTGTCTTAAAGATATTCGAAAAAATATTGTTTACAAAATCCGTTAAGCAATTTCACGAGTGACTAAGAACTGGTCAACTGTTACACGGTCAACTCATCCGAGCTATAGCACCGCCCGCGCCATATCGAACTACTTTAATATTGAACCAAAATCTATATTGCCTGAAATTTTAGTATTACCAACTATTTTACAAATCTTATTCTTATATTTATATTACTGATTATAAATAATTCAATAGTTATTATAGGAAAAAGTGATGAATATTTATAAATAAAAATTCGTTACGAACTTGGCATGTACAGAACAATACGAGTATCAGTAGATTTGTTCTTAGCATGAGAACTCAATCGTAACGCAGGTAAATAGGCGTAAATTGCGTGACGAGTTCCAGTCTTCTCTTAAGAATTCTTGAGATTATGCTAGCTTTTCGACGTTGGAATACATAAATATAGGAGGGTAATAATTTATTTTAAAACGTCTATCACAAACGTGGTGAAAATTAATTGTTATTATCAAATTGAAGTTTACTGACCTAAAATTTCAGAGGCCAGTTATTTACTTTCTTCTTGGAATCAAGTAGTTCCTTTAGTAATTGAATTGACTCTCAAGAAACTTTTCTTAAAAATATAAAAATTTCAAATTTTTTGAAAATAACTGAAGCACAAGAGGATTCATTTAAATAAATATATTTCGTTTTTAATATTAGAAGAGGCAATTGTAACACTGAAATAGAAATTAAGAAATCAATAACAGACTAATTTATTATTTGTTTAAGTAAAATCTTATTCTTTCGAAATGTTAAATAAAATTATTCTTGAAGTATTATGAGGTTCAATGTAAGCATTTAAACATTCAAAAATATTTTTACGTAAAAATGTTCGTGCAAATTCAATCATTTTCAATACTGACTATTCGGAATCTTGGAATATTTACAATTCGATTGCATACTTCCAAACGTCTTATACAACTGCATAGAACATGACAGGTTTAGCAATAAGAATCAATTGAAGAAGATTCAACCTGAAAATCTTCAAATATTTCTCAAATATCGAAATTTTTTGTGCAAAATCTTGTTTTATACAAAAAGTATGAGTGAAACTCTCTTTGAAAATTTTCTTAATTTATTCTGGTGTATAAGTTTGTGTTCTTGGTTCCTATGTAAGCAATAACTACTATCTGTCAATCTTGAAAATTACCTTTGCGGTTGTTTTTTTAGAATAAGTAATCTATTTTATTGTTTGTTACGTTGGGAGTAAATCATATACGTTCAGGCGCCACTCTTTTCCACCAATATTTTGTATTGTAACACGCAATTTTTTGTATTTTAATACGCAAAACAAAAAAATTCAAAGACTACAGTTTTTGTATTACTCTTTTTAATTTATTAGTGCGGTCTCAACTTAAATATGCCTCTTGTATATGGAGTCCGTCTATAACATTTATAAAATAAAGATTGAAATTATTAAAAAAAAATAATCTCCGCTATTTACACAAACGTTCTACCTCTATTGTTATACATATCTTATCAGGATCTTTTAAACAAGTCCAAATTATTATCATTGAGCTATCGACATCTGATAAGCGATTAAAAGGTGCTCCACAACATACATATGTCACAGTGCATACAACTGTCCGGATATTCTTGAACAAGTCAAATTATGCACCCATACAAAATATCTCAGATCACTTTCATTATTTCATGTACCGCGATCATACACAAATGCGGGATTACGCGCTCCAATACGTAAAATATGTCGCACTTATATGTAATAACGAATTTTCTCCGGTTGATATTTTTCGTCACAATTCAGCCGCGTTTCATAACAAAATGCGCAACATATTATTTGAAAAAAATAAACCACCTCGCAGTCCTGTTTTTCATTAACATTGTTTAAGAGTTTAATTTAGTTTCGCCGCTAAATATTCTCCGCACATTTACCATTACTCCCTTCACACCTTTAAAATAAATTTACAAACTTTATTTGTACACATCACTTTCACCAAGTGTATTGTTAGAGATGCGTGCCCAAGCGCTTCTCTTTTTAATTTATCTATATTTCTTAGTGAGAAATGTTTAAGGACTAATTATGTCGACTACAGCCGGAGGTTCCAAATAACCAAAATTTACTTATAATTATTTTATTCTAAAGACGACTTATCGTTACATGATTGAACGAAGAAGTGATTTTATAATTTTAAAACTGATTTACAATGACTCGGGAAGCCGTGGTGTTCTCTTTCTGCATTCCATTCCCATAGATTCCGCGGATTGAGGTGTCGTCTTTACTTCATTCCATTCCCATAAGTTCCATGGTGTCAGCATTCGGTGTTTAATTTAATAATTTTATGTTCGCGTAACACCTCCCCCCGTAGAACGGCGACTATTGAAGAACCTTGTTCGAGAGAGACGCCGAGATGTTGCTGTGATCGACCCTTATGAGATGTGGGTCAATTTCTCTTCCTTCATATGTTTCTTGAACTCGTCCTGGGCTTATATCTATTTTATTGACACTTCTAGATCTTAGTTTCTGAAGTATAAGTACGATAGTAAGGGTGACCGTACAAAGCAGCAGAATGACGTACAAAGAAATTGTTGTATGATATATACTGGAGTCATCTACGTTTCCTATTTGAACTGGATGCTGGAGAGATATCTTCGAGTTGATGGAATGTAAATTTGATAGGTCAATAGTATTGAGAATTACTTTAGCATGTTTCTTTGAAGTAGAATCGTTGAATTGTGGCATTTCCATGATCTTCAATACTCGTCCTTTGATGCGATCGTTGGTGTTGGACAGCGTAAAGTATGGCGTTTTCATGTAGCAATTGATCGGGATAACTGCGAGGAAGCTTCCTGAGAGGGTTCGATATTGTACTTGCCCACAGGATAACTGGACTTTCGTAGGTGTCGGAAAACTAAGAGTCTAGTGCTCGTCGTCTAATTGTTCAGCAGCTGCTCTTGTCAGGATCACTGAGGTCATTTTACACGTCTCGTGAAGCTCTTGCGTAGCGATGAGATGTTGGATACAGTCGGACTCGTTTCTCGTTCTATAGTTAGCATTGGTGTTACAGAGGAACCATGAATTTACCTTCGGATATTCAGTCTCCATGTACATAAAATCTTGTCTAGAGAATGCTATATAAGGTAAGGTGGGGACAAGTACTTTATGGTATTTGTTAGGAACGATAGGTAACTTATAAAGGTCATAGGTTAATGGATTGACAATCGGAACATTAACCACTATAACTATTTGCTTATTTAAGTAAAAGTAACCTAATTTTATAATATCGTAAAAATCCCTAAAATCTATGTTAAGAACCTCATCACTTAAGTACAAGGATCTTAGTTTTATTACTAAAGTCTTAAGTTCATCTAAGCTTATTATATGTAGAATGCGGTGTGCTCGATGTACGTATGAAAGCTAAACTATATTCTAATCTATTTAGCTCATCGTATATATCTTGGATGTTATCTCCTAAGATAACTAGATGCTGTGCCAGATGGGCGTATTTAATTAAATCATTGTCCTTTTCGTTATCACTCTGTATGATGACGTCAACTATTTTACTGAGTTTACTCTGGTTCTCAATTATATTCTCTATTACCTTCGTGTTACGTAACATCCAATTTCCAAAAAGCTTTATGCGCTGTATTTCGTAAATGAGCTAGCCAAAGAATTTTTTTATTTAACATTATTTGTAGCAGTTTAAATTATCTACACCTAATTTCCTTTTACTTTATAAAAGGTTCACATTAAAAAATATCAGTAACATTTACTTATCTTATGTTTGTGTTTTGGCAATTTTTAAATATAAAATTATATTAATTGATTACTCGCAACATTTTATGGGATTACGCCTACTAACCCTAGTAATAACGTTAAAAAAATTTAACGCTAACGTCTAAAAAAGACGAATTTTATGGATTATATTTTTATTTCAACAAGGATCACATGATATTTTGTCAATGTTCTCATTCTGTTATTATTTCCATTAAAATGTACTAATGTTATTATTTGAAAAAGAATGATATGAATTATATGTTCAACAGTCCGAAAAAAATTTCTCTGCACTTTTCACAGTACTTCATCCAATTCCGACGTAAACAAAATTTCGGCTGCACATATTTGAAATGAAACTGATTTGCCAAAAGCACTCAATAGAAACGGAATTGTTAAAACGTATTGACAAATATTGAGACAGTAACATTTTATAAATATATAGATGCTTTTTCAAATCTTAATTATATTATTATGATGTTTCTGCAAAATGAAATGTAATTTTTAATTTATTTACCTAAATTTTTTAATGCTTATCTATTAATGCTCTTTTATACTGTTGTATGAAAAAAAAATGTACTTCATTATACCGTGACAAAACGACTGAACGTAATTCAGAATTCCATATTTATTTATAAATATTTAGGGTCTTGGAATATAAATGACAATGGGTAAATGAAAAATCGCTTTTTGTGTTATTTTTCTACTTAACAAAAAATTCAGGAAACTCATTTCGAATTGTTTCTGGCTATGATAAAGAAAAACAATTTTAATACAAAGTTGCTATGTGGCCTGCTTAATTGTGGCTCCGCAATCCGCATATCCTTTCACTTCTCTGTGTGGTTTTGAGAGTTCAAAGTTCGTGAACCGAGTTAACAGCTAAAGTATTGAATTTTCGATAACTGTGAAGTAATGAGTTTTATAGTTGTGTTAATTTTTTTCGATCAAAAATATTACTGAAATTTTAAACCGAAACCTAAACAAAAAAATATGATCTTATAGTGATTTTTTACAATCTCCATTTTCAACAGGAAATGTGCTCGACTACAAAATGATATGACTACAAAATAATTCAAACAGGATTGTCTGTACAAAACGGAACCATTATCTAGTTTTACTTAAGATCAATCAAATAGATAAATATTTGACTCAAGACCGATGTGTAGTTTGTAAAAATCTAAACTATGTTATAAAATACTTCTCTTAATATATGAAAAACATATTGTCTTTTATTTGGAACAAATTTCAATTGTTATATATATAAATGCAACAATGAGGAAAAGAAAGTGATGTCACTAAATGAAGCCCTTACTTTTGTTAACAAGTTTTTTATTAAATAATATTAAAGACAAAATTGTGCACTGCGCTTGAAGAAAATACATTTTTTTTCAAAATCAAAACCAATCTCCTAACCTCAAAGCTTTATTTAAATCGAAATGTTATATAATAAAAAAATAGGTACCTAATTCAATATAAAATAATGAAATAAAGAAAAATAAATTTTACTTCTTAATATATTTTCAATATGAGAAATTATGTACTAAAACCCCTTATTACCTTATCTACAGTAAAAGGCCAAAATGAAACCGAAATCCAGTCAAAACCAATTTTATATATTAAAATCAATCTTACAACTTAAATTTGAGACTACTGATTAACTTACATCTTACTCTACGAGTTTTTAACCACGTAAGCCAGTTAGTAAAATTATAATAAAGATTTAAATTACTGAGTAGCAATAAACCATTCACAATATATTAACATTATTGCTTTTTCGAAGAAAATATACATCAGCAATCTTCGTGGAGTTCGTGTATGTGTAATTAATTACACAATTTGTATAGATTTGAAATGATTTGTCATCATAGAATGAGCATAACAGCCCTGAGTGTGACCAAATTATTTAATATTTCTACTTTGGTTTTTAGAAAAGTAAGAGCGTTTATATTTAATACAGATAATATGAACACGGCCCTGGGCTAACCGTTTCTAGCCACCTCCACAAAACTCAATATTATATTATTTTAAAGACATAAAATATCAGTAAGGTAAGCGTTATTCGCTATCTGTCAATTTACCTTGTTAATTTAATCAAAGTGTGATTGAATTTTTTGTAATAAAAAGTTTTAGTATCTCACTTGACATGATGACTTTACACACACACCTACTCGTAAAACAAACTTTAGGCGAGTTGCTGAAATACATTATCTTGTTATAAATTTTGTACTACACTAAAATAAATATAAGATTCTTATTATTTTTGTTATATCATTGAAAACAATTTTTTTATAACACAATCAAGTAACTTGTAAAATATATACTTTTATATAACACTTAGAGTATGAATATGTAGTGTGAAATAAATAAAATATTTTTAGGATTCTTTTTTATTTTCATTGCATCAAAAATCCTATTTAATAATTTTTAAAACCTTCATTCAATTCAAGTAACAATATTGAAACATTAAGAAACAATGTCTCCGTCGTGATTGGAATAGCTGGAACTAAAATGAGAATTTACATATGTTTTGTGTCATTAAACAATTTTAGAACTGACTGAACAGTAGAATACTAATAGCAAGACATAAAACTGCCAACAAATTTAATCGACTGACGTTAGGTAGAAAGGATGAAATGAAAGTGATTTGTCTTGGCTTTATTTATATTATCTTATATTTGTTCCCTTTTCATAAATTTTTATCGCAAGAAATGCAGTTTTTGGTAAATTTGTCTTAAAATATCATGATTTATCAAGGACGAACTATGTACTTGAATTGAATTTGAATTATTTATCTACATTTCATACAAAGAAATCCTAAATTATCTTAAATGATATGTCTATATATAAAACGATTTATCCCCTGTAACTCTAGCCACTATTGATAACCAAAGAGGATTATTGTTCCAAAAGATAAATGTCATCAATACGGGTATATTTATCGTAATTTATTATTAGGTATGAACCTGATACACATCTATCGTTTTTTGAGAGAATAGAGACTAACCTACGATCGTAATAAAAATAAAATCTGAGAACGAGCTACACCTTAATAGCGGATTTTTATTTTTACAAATTCAGAAACGTGTCTTTTCACAAATGGTAATTTTTTCCATATTCAAGCATGTTATATTTCATTTGAGTAAGAGTGACAAAAAATATAAATTATAGTAAAAGTACATATATACCGATTTATTGGATGTACACGCCCCATTAAGACCTATTAAGCTTAAGCACTTACCGGCTCCTTGGCTAACTCAGGATATTAGAGCACTCATGGCTAAGCGTAATGCTGCGAAGGCTAAATATAAAAGAAATCCAACTACTGACAACCTGGAAAAATATAAACATCTACGAAATCGTTGCAATAAACTGTGTCGTGATGCTCAGCGTAAGTTTATTGCAAATGCTATTGATAATAGCGGCACATCCAAGGTATGGCGGTTTTTGAAAACGCTGGGCATCGGTCGTCAGCGGGAAACCATTTCTTTTAATATCGAACTTGATGATCTTAACAGACACTTCCTTTCTTCTTCTTCTATAAATATATGTGACAAACTTAATACAATCAACTTTCTTAATACATTGCCTATCCCTGATAACCCTCCTTTCCAATTCAGCTCTGTCACCATTAGCGAGTTAAGGAAGCACATCCTTAGTATTAAATCAGACTCAACTGGCTGTGATGAAATAAGTCGAAAACTGATTCTCCTTACCCTCAACAATATTTTACCTATTTTGTGTCATATATTTAATTATTCTCTGTCAACTGGTACTTTTCCCTCAATTTGGCGCAAAGCCCTAGTGATTCCTATTCCTAAAGTTTCCAATCCCTTGTTACCTTCTCATTTCAGACCTATATCTGTGCTTCCTTTTCTCTCGAAGGTGTTAGAACGTGTAGTCCATTCTCAACTAAGCCAGTTTCTCTCTATAAATAAAATCCTCTGCCCTTTCCAATCTGGGTTTAGAAAAGGCCATAGTACAGTTACAGCTCTCACCAAAGTATGTGACGATATACGTAACGGAATTGATAACAAATGCGT